GGTCAAATAAAAGTGGAGATAATAAATGCAGTTGAACACGCCAACAAATCATCTCAGTGTTTTACGTGATAAATGTATGTGATCTTTCCATCATGGTTCAGAAACGGTCAAAAAAATCTACAAGAAGTTCTATGCTGACTCATTTGATTGATGATAGCGGTCACCAAGTGGACAGAAAAAATTCCTTCAAAGTTATTTATCGCATTCCATTGAACTTTTCGGACGGAATTTAAACCCGCCTTTTACATATAGCCAAAGCTATAGGAATCAATTCGAGAGAGCAATGCTAGTCTTTGTCTATCTGTTTTCGACATAGAACTTTGCACAAATGTGCGGAAGTTCAAGTCGCCACATTCCGTGTAGCACGCGAAGCAAGAGAAGAAAGTACAAGAAAAGCATAATCGAAACAGTGAGCAGAGGTGTGAGACAAAAGAGTAATAAAGAAAAACAGAACAGTTTCATTGGAGATCATAAGTCACAAGGAGTGGATGCATCTGCGCCACTGAGAACGATTTTGAGCCATGTCACCAATTGTTTCCAACCAGAGATTTTTACCGTCCCGAGGAGTCCAACCAGGACGTCTAGACCTTTCTACGTGGCTTAGACTAACTGTTGTGGATTTCATTGACTGATGCCAAGTTTTTGTTTGACCGCCGCTAGCTTTTTTCCAGCCTGACCCTATATCCGCTAACATTGCTCGTCGAGGGAGGCGATGACCAGGCATACGTAACACATGTCCTAACCATCTCAGTCTTTGTAGCTTCACGACTTCGTCGATTGATTTCCCCTGTTTACCTAGAACTCGACGCCTAACCTCAATATTGCTCACCTTATTATGCCACTTCACACGGGAAATAGAGCGCAGGCACCTATGATCAAAGACAGCTAGTCTTTTCATGTCTTCCACTCTCAGTGGCCAGGTCTCACAGCCCATAAAGGAGGACGGAGCGGACTGATGAGCAGTACACCCGCCCTTTGGTCGATAGTCGAACATCTCGTCTACGCCAGAGTCGGCGTAAACTGGGAAGTGCGAAACGAGCCCCTTGTATCCGTGCTGAGATTTCGTCAGAGATCAACCCGTTGGCGTTGGCTGATGGTACTTCCCAAATAAGTGAAGCGGTCAACGTGCTCTACCACTTCACTTCCTATTTCTAAACTAGGCGTCGATGTAGTCCAGTCCTGTAACATCATCTTGCATTTGGCGGGAGCGAATCGCATGCCAAACATTCGTAGATTGCTGCTCAAGGTGTTTAGAAGACTCTGCATTTCGTCAGCGTCTTCGCCTAGAAGGACTATATCGTCTGCATATTCTAAGTCAACGAGATTATTCCCTGGTAGCAAGTCAATCCCTGAGTCGCTGAAGTGAGTTAGGGTTAAGTCCATCAGTACATGTAGGAAGTTGAATAGAAAAGGGGATAATGGGCATCCTTGACGGACACCACTAGTCGTCACCAGTTCAGATAATAACTCGCCGTAAGCCCTCACCTGGCTGTATGAGTACGAGTAGAGTGCCTTAATCAGTGCAATATATTTTCTCGGAATTCCCTTTACAGCCAAGCATCTCCAGAGAACTTCTCGATCGACAGAGTCGAATGCTGCCTTTAGGTCAAGAAATATAATGACTGTTGGACGCCGGTAGGAATTCCTATGTTCTAGAATCTGTCGGAGGGTGAAGATATGATCAATACACCCTCTTCCTGGTCTAAAGCCTGCCTGGCTCTCTCGTGTTTGTGCCTCCCGAGCACCACTCAGTCTACGCATGATTATTGAGCCTAAGACTTTAGATACTATATTAGTCAAGCTAATCCCTCTGTGATTATCACAGGAAGACTTGTCTCCCTTCTTGTATATGGGGATAATCAGTGACTTACACCAACCCGATGGGACTTCTTCTGATTCCCAGACGCTGCCTAGTACCTCAGTTAATGCAGACAGTAAGCTGTCTCCACCGTACTTAAATACCTCTGGAGTCATTCCATCAGGTCCCGCTGCTTTGCCTAGTTTCAGATTGGTGACAGCTTTAGTAACCTCAGTTAGGGATGGAGGACCTGTGTCTATATCCCATTCAGGGAGGTGTTGGATGCTCGGAAGGTTGAGCGTGGCTGTGGGCCAATTAAACTGCTCCTCATAATGCTCTTTCCAACGATCCAGTCGTCTATCCTGGGAGCTAATTATAGTGCCATTTTTTTCCGAGATTGTTTCACTAATGATTTGTCTTCTCCCACCCGTTTCCCTGATGAGTCTAAAGAGTTGCCTGGTGTTGCCTATCCTCGAAGCTTTCTCCATCTCTTTGGCTTTTGTCGCCCACCACTGTTCACGGTCCTTGCGGAGACTTTTCGTAAGTTTCCTTTTGTGCAGCTTTCGCTCCTCATTGAATTCGGAGCTCGCCGGAATAAGTCTTCTAGCATCTATCAGTTCGGATGAGGCGGTGGAGATCCAGTGGTTTTTACTCACCTTTGGGTTTACCTTATTCACAGCTTTTACAGCTGTATCTATGGCTGCCTGGATATTTTTCCAAGCTTCTTCAGGGTGAGCACAGCTGTCGAACACAGATATGTGTTTAGCTAGTTCTTCCTGAAATACGGATTTAGTTTCCTGATCGAGCTGGGGACGTGATGGTTTTACCGCCAGCTGTTTCCTACGTCCGTTCAGTCGTAAGCACACCGAGCGCGGACCAGTGCATGGTCGGTATCTACACACGTGTTCCAGAAGGAGCGACAATCTCCTACCGACCCACGCCAACGATAGCTTATTGCTATGTGGTCTATTTGTGTCCAGCGTTGGTTTGATGAAGGGGGTCTCCAAGTCAAACAGTGTCTCTCCTTGTGTTTGAAGTTAGTGCTTACAAGAAACAAATGATTATCAGAACAGAACTGTAGGAGACGGTCACCGTTGTCGGTTCGCTGGCACGGACTCCATAGGTGCCACCGACATCCTTCTCAGATTGACACAATTTCCCTACTTGAGCGTTAAAGTCACCAGCTAGAACGACTATGTCTGAGCGTTTAGCCTTTCGCACCAAACTAGACAGCTTTTGGTAGAACTCATCCTTCGTTTCATCTGAACTGCAGTCAGTGGGGGCGTAGGCGGAGATTACGAAAAGGCATCGGCGAGTAGTGCAGTCCTTTCCTTCTTACTGATCCGTTCAGACGGACAGCACACATATCTACCGGGATCCAGTCAAGCAATGTCTTTTCTGCCCTAGTACTCAAAGCTATCCCTACGCCAGCTAATCCTCGTGAACTAGCTGTGGCATCTCCTGACACCCTCAAGGTGAATTTTGCAGATTCAACCTGTTGGCCAGGTGGGGTTAGGTGAATAACCACACTTGGGTCTTGTATGCGTGTTTCTGAAACACAGCATACATCAATGGCTCGGATGCCAGGGTCTTGGCTAGTGATGCTTGTTGTCCTATTTGGCAAAGTGTCCTAACATTAAAGCTCCTATATGAAATTGGTGGCGCGGCTTTAAGAGGCTGTCGGTGGTGGTTTTTTGGCTTCCATCGTTTTTAGTGGACGCAGAGTGGAGAGGAAGTGGAGAGCTATCAAGTCGAGGAGTTGCATCAGTGGAAGGAAGGCAAGATGATAGAGATGAAGATGAAAACAAAGATGAGTGAGTAATAGAGAGGTTTCGCGTGCGTTTCGGATTGTGAGGGCGATTGTTACTTCCCGGCTGCCCACACCGTGGAAGTTGGTTGCGTGACCGCAGAGCCCAGGGGACAACTGCTTGAGGCCGGTCACACGCGGCCTGCTTTTGTTTGTTCTTTTTGTTTTGTGTGCCTCAGTAGCATATTTATCACTCCTGCCCTGTGACACGGCAGCAGGAAGCGCGGTCGTTGTTAATCCGGGCCACGGCCGATCCGGCATGAAATTTTGTGATTTTGTATTTATCATGATGTTGGATTGGGTAGCTGCTTTTTGTTTAACCGCTATCCAAACAACCTGCCTGGCATGGTAGACCTCAAGAGACATAAGTCTCAGCCAGTATAGCTTGTTGGGACATTGCGGTGTTCAAGCCCGACCACCAAGTCAAGGTAGCAGCTTTCGGTCGGGTGCTAGTCTTTGCATACAAAAGAAGTTTATTCTACCTTTGTTTCTTTCTCTGTTGGCCTAGGTAAAGTCTAATTGAAAACCTTCCCACCGTCTCTTATTTTCTATTTCATTCGTGTTTTAATGATATTTATTTAAACTACGATTATCTGTCCACTTCACCTTTAGTATTACGTAACTTTTAAGATTTGACCTAATTTATTTATTGAATTATCTACATATACACATATTACTACCTTTGTTATTCTTATCGCTGCATGCTTAATCCTTATTGTCATTATTTTGTTTTCATTATGATCATCGCTGTTACTGACGATAAATATTTGACACATTATTATTATTTGATTCACAAATTCGCCGTCAATGGTTGACATTTTTATGCATAAATCTAGATAAATTAGAGCAAAACCCTGAAGAGGATCTAATTGAAAGCAATACTGTTCGCCTATCTGTCTTGTTCTAAATGTCTATGATACATTTAATCCCATTCAATAAGCTATAAATAAGCTGAATAACTGTGCTAACTGCAGTTGCACTAATCATTTCAGTCAGTACATTATCATGCGTCGGTGGTTCAGTGGTAGAATGCACGCAAGTGGTCTGAGGTCGATTCCCAACCGACACATCCATAAGCCTTGTCTAGCTAACTAACCGATAGTAAGCCGAGTAAAGAAGGAAGATTGAGCTTCAGGCAAGCAAGCCACCCACTCCGTTAAAACAACTCCAATTCTATTGAAAGTCTAAAAAGACTTGAAGACCTGTGTTCCACTTGGAACACAAAGGAATGAATAACGGTTTATGATCTTATAGATTAGAGTGTTAATTGGCAAATTCATTAGAATATGACGATAATGGGGGCAATGTGCTTTTCCAGTTCTCTTTTTTCTATAACTGATGGATGTCAATTGTTATTTAAAAACAAAACATTTCCCACACCTCTCATCTTTTAAGGCGGCTAAAGAAAGACAAAAGATTAGAACGGAAGAAATTAATATCAATATTGTTGAAAGACGTAAACAAATTGAAATTGAAGAAAAGGGTATATTATGCAGTGAAAAGAATATGGATGCTACTGTACGACGTCCAGCTGAAGCAGAAGCTTATCGATTACAACAAATTGCTGAAGGTAATAGGTAAGTTATAACTGAAAAAGAAAATACTATTAATTTTGACATCATCAATATATTAAATAAGCGCTAATTTTGTTTATTATCTGCCAAACATTAAGGTTGGACGTTACTCGATTTGGCTTCTGCGTTTAACTGTAAGGAAAGAGGTGATTCATACAGATTTTGGCAGCAAATAGTCACCCTCCTCTTAATGAATAATCTACAGTCCAAGATTACTAACTATATCTGGCTTGTGCTCACACTGCCTTATTGATTTGTTGTTTGATCATTGCCTTGACACTATTAGTTGGTTGGAAACTTGTTTCGTCCTTGGGCGGAACTCTTCGACAATACGCGTTCATGGCCCCATCAGACATAGAACCCTTGGAATTTTAAATGATGAGACAAGTCAGCTGGCTATTTAGCCACTGGCATGGAATCCAATGGTCTATGAATTCTAAGTTCTGCCATCTGGCAATATTTAGCTCCACCGTCAGTTAGTGTCATAGGGTATATCTGTCGTCACATCCAACTTGGTAGACCCTAGTGGTCATTACTTCTCTGGAGAACTCCGGGGATTGCATCCCTTAGTCAGTCAGTTTGATAACGCAGAGATCTTGGATTTGAGTTCCCCCATGGAGTGATAAGTAATTACTGCTGAAAAGTCTCCAGTTAAGAAGAATTCGATAAATTCTGTCTGTGCAAACTAACATTTTACAATGTAATGATTTTGTTTCGAGGAAAAGTACTTGGAAAAGCGGTTGCATCATTTAGCATACTGTTTTACATGGGTTAGATTATTCTTGTCTGATCCCCTACAAGCTTGACAAATCACTCATCTTTGTTTGTTGCCAACTTTTTCCAAGCAAACACAATAGTAAAAATACACTGAATAAATAGTTGTTATTTACATTTGATACAATTGAATCACACAACCCGTTTAAAGTGTGTTTTTTTAACATTTAAAGTGTTTTATGAATAATGACTATGAGTTGCCTGGTTAGAATTTTGTATTCCTTGTAAATTGTCTGTCTGTCTGGATTCAACATAGAACTTGGCACCGAAGTACAGCAGTTCGAGTTGCCACGCTCCAAATAGCACACAAAGGTGGACAAGAAGATGAGTGAAGAGAATCAACAGAGTTTGACAAGTATAAGAGTGAAACAGAATGGGTATTGGTAGGAAGGAATATGAAAGATTACAGAGACTGAATACATCTGTGCTGGCCATTGACAACGATTTTGAGCCATGTCACCTATTGTCTCCAGCCATTGATTCCTAGAGTCCCGAGGGCCCCAACCCGGAAGTCTGCATCTCCCTACCTGACCGACTCAGTTTAACTGTCAAGGATTTCATGGACTGATGAGGCCATGTTTCTGTTTGGCCACCACTTACTCTTTTCCAACCTGTACCTATATCAGGTAGTAATGCCCGTCGGGGGAGGCGATGGTTAGGCATGAGATGGCTAGGTCATGTGCTTCACATGACCTAGCCATCTCAATCTATGTAACTTTATAGCCTTGTGGATTGATTTTCTCTGTTTGCCCAACACTCTACGCCTAACGTCAACATTACTTACCCTATTATACCACCTAACGTGAGAAAGTTATCGTAGACATCTATGATCAAAAACAGTCAACCTTTTCCCTTGTAAACTGAGTGTAAATCAAATAATATAATAAATGAATGATTATCGTTTGGTAATAAAACTCTCCAACATCATTAATTACAAAATGACTATGCTTGGAAATTAGCTTTCTGTGTATATGCTAGACTGGCAAAAAGACCCTAGAAGATCTGGATTTCGATGACAATGATGATGATGTTACACAAACTCGAAGATTTACAGGTAAAACACAAAAAAGTTGACAGAAAAAACAGTGAAGACAGAACCTCTGGTGAATATACAGAGAGGAGAGAAGGAATGAAAATACCTGACCAACAAAGAAGAAACGCTAATCACCGTGAATATGTGCAATCTAAAGGAAGCCGTATCTTCCAGTTACTTAAACAACGTCGTTTCAACCACCAGCAAGTGGCACATTTGAGAATTTCACAGAAATGGATTAGGAAAGAGACATTGGTGTTCATTTTGAAGATCAATTTCACTCAGTATGACCAACACAACTAGCGTTTTCAACACTAATTTCATGTCAATTCTTCTATGTAGTTCAGAAATTTTACCCATGTGTATCGCCACCAAAAGTATTTCCAACAGCTTCTTCTTCCCCATTCCTTCACGTTCCATGTGGAATATAGAGCATCAATCTTTTGAAGTTTAAGTATCGGTAGTGTTGTTTATAGGGAGTTGGGCTTACTCACCTCACTTCCGAACTTCTGTCATTACCAGACTTTTTATCAACTGGTAAACTAGGTGGGGCTTTAGGAGTGCATGGTTTTAGGATTCGAACCTGGACCACATGCGTGATTGACTACTGATGTTCTACCAGCGAGCAACTGATTTACATCCTTAAAAATGATTTTAAAAATAACTCTAATTCAGCTTATAAAATCTTCTGCATTATATGTTATTGCATAATGGTTAAAAAGTTGTAGATTTCATGGAATCTTTCTTGGAAATCATCACTAGTAAGTAGATAGTCACTTAGCTTATTAAATTTTTATTTCTCAGTTTGTATTTTTCATCTTCCATGCCGAGAACCGAATAAGTGTGTACTTAATGCAACTCTGTTGGGAAGAAGACTATCACTCACTGGGTTAAATATGCATACATTCAGTTGACAAAACCCGCAACATCACTCTCCACTGTTAACCAATATCAGCTAAATCAGAAAACTACATCAAATTAAAATTATCCTGTCATATAAAGTAGAAGTTAACGAAGTGGGTTTCAGAGCTAGGAGCCAATATTAGCGAAAGTCAATAAGTTACATTTCTGGTAATATTAGATGGTTGGAGGTAATCGGCCACAGGAAGCCTTCGACTTAGGTTTCCTGCTAGGCACTCGTTACCAAGGCGTATCTGCAACCTTGAGGGAGCTCATGTCCCATCCCTCTAGGATTCGAACCCGCGTTACCCAGTGCTGCAGTCAGAGTGCCAACTAGCACGAAACTTAGGTCGAAAGCTTCCTGTCGATCGCCTCCAAGCATCTAATATCATCAAATCAATGTGCACCGCGATGGCGAGCCACCTAGAAAGGTTGCCACATTGCAAACCTGACTGATAGAATTTAATCTGCACCAAAGAAAGGGCTAGACACATCATACTAGTTACTTTGTCCAGTCAAAGTTATATTTCTACTAGTCAAACGAAATCATATATTTTAAGGTTGAGAAAAGAAATATTAGCTATTTCGACTTTTCATTTATTCAAATGAAGTATCTCCACTGATAAACTGTGATATCTAAACTTTAATTAAAATCTTCTTTATATCCATTATGATAGAGTTTACATGTGATATAATTTGTCTTTTAGAATTAATCACCAGTTAGAAAACCATTGGAATACCAGCAGACCGTGATGGACAGCTGTTTCATCCTAGTTGGGAATTGTTCACCACACTACGCACCTACCAGGATTCGATCCCAGGACCTTCCGGTTACAAAGTGAGCTCGTAGACAACCAGGCCACTAGCACGCAACCCAGCCTAGTCCACTAAGTCAGGTAAGGGGAAGGTTACTCTCCTGTGACCCTGGTTGGCGGTTGCGCTAAATATATACCACAAGTTAGCAGAAGTTGAAATTAATTGACCATTGGATCCGGTCCCAGTGGCTTAATGATCTGTGAGCTCGCCTTATAACCGTAAGGTCCTGGGATTGAACTCCAGTAGGTGCGTACTGTGGTGAAGAGTTCCTAACTAGGTGAAACAGCTGTCCATCACTATCTGCTGGTATTCTAGTAGTTCTCTGACTGATGTCAGCTCGCGATTAATCCTGTAACCAATTAAATCCTTGCAGACTAACACTTGGTCATTAATTTTTATTGATTATTATATACCAATATTCTATGTTATCTTCTCTTGCACTTGGTAGTTAATTAGTATTTTTGTCACCGTTTATTACACAACTAGTTTCAAATGCTTTGCGGTAACATTGATGAGTTACTCAGCTTATTGACTTATGATTTAAGCATTTACCTGAAATAAAAGGTACGGTGTTGGTTTTTGTTTTCACCTCAAAAGGTTATTTTAGTGTATATTGATTTCTCTTTTTTACTAGATATACATTCTTCTAGTAAATGTACTTTACTTTTTACAAAGTGGCTTCTTGATGCATTTAATAATTTCAGATGTCCTTTTATTTGTTATACTTTACTAAATTTATGTTAAAGGGTGGTATTAATATTCAAGTGTCTGATCGGTATTAAATCTTTATCACAAACTGAAAGCAGTTAGAGAAACTATGGAGTGGTCGATAGTTGTTCCTTCCTAGTTCGAGACTTTTCGTCAGTACACACCATAACCTCCACTGATTGAATAGGAGGTGGCATCCCTACAGTTCTAGTGACAGGTCATGAACACAGGGATCTACCAAATTGGGTGTGAGAACTGATGCTCTCTGATGATCTTGACTGACTGTGGCGCTAAATATTGCCAGAAGGTAGAAGTTACAATTTAAAGACTGGTCATTATATTCCCTCCCAATGATTAACAGACTCGTCTCGTTACCTGTGGTTCCTTGGTTCGATCCCTGCTGCTGGTGGTGTCATGAATGGGAACTACTCAAGACTCCCTAAAAAGAAGAAGAAACCTTTCCGAGACTCTTTTTTCCATCAAAGCTAAGAACACTTGTCAGAAATTGTGCTACCTATATGTTAAAATATAGTTGATGTTAGATGGTTGCAGGCAATCGGCCACAGGAAGCCTTGGACCTAGGCTTCGTGCTAATTGGCACTCGTCAACTAGGCGACCTCAAAGGAACTCATGTCCTATTCCTCTGAGATTAGAACTCGCTTCACCTAGTGCCGCCTACAGTCAGAGACATTACCACTGAGGTGTTCGGGCTCGTGATTTAACTCCTGTAGGAGTGACTGTATTGGATACTTACATTGGAAACTAGTAACTAGTGTGATGTGTTTAGTAAATCTATTAAAGATTTAACAAAACCAAAGTGAGATTTTACCACTTGGTCGGATGATGTAATAAAGCCGAAAGGGTGTCATACAGTTTAACCAATGGAAAATTGGTGGTAATAGTTTTAAATTAGTCATTTCTTATGATATATATGTATATATAATGCTTTTATTGGGTGAGTTTCGCTGACTAAGATTGAGTTTCAACATAGAACTTAGCACAGAAGTTCGTCAGTTCAAGTTGCCATACTCCATGTAGTAAGCGGCTACAGAAAAACTAAAAAAAAAGAAATTCCATAGAACTTTAATGAGTTGAAATGTACTTGAAAAGGAATAGTAGTATGGAAAAACACAAGAATTTGAATAGATCTTGGGGATAAGAAACAATGGATAACTCTGTGCCATTGAAAAAAAATTTCAACTCATATCATAAACAGTCACCAGCCATTGGTTCTTAGCATACGGATGACTCCAGTAAGACAACCTACACCTCGTGGTAGCTTGGCATGCGTAATATGTGTTCTAGCCATCTCAATCGGTGTAAGGTGAAAACTTCATCGATTAACTTGCCCTTCGTATCTAACACCCTATGGCTAAGTTTACTGCAAATATAATGATTGACTAAACAGATTTCTTCTTCAAGTGATGGTTTGTAGGGATTTGATTGGTGAATTGGCAGAAGTTAGAATTCAAGGACCATTGGATCGGGTCCCAGTGGCTTAATGGTATACGAGCTCGCCTTGTAACCAGAAGGTCCTGGGTTCGAATCCCGGTGGGTGCGTACTGATGAAGAGTCCCAAACTAGGACGAAACAGCTGTGCAGTACTCCCAGGTTTTCCAATGGTTCTCTAACTAATTTCAGCTCAAGATTTCTTCTTCTTGAATATAAAGTTCAAGCTTGCAAATATGAATCACCATAGCTTCTGCATTTGTCCGTAAACTTTTTAAAAGATTCCTATGTACCCCACAATTGGTTCATAGTTTCACTTGGCGTTCATTTCACTTCTTATAACACTGTTAATTTGTTAATCAGTCTGTAATTTTTTCCCTCTTTTTTCTTTTAAGAACACAGAAAATACTTCTAGCTCAAGCTGAAGCCGATGGTATCCGTATGAAAGGTATTGCTAAAGCTGAAGCTTTGGAAGCTGTCGGTAGAGCAGAAGCAGAAAGAATGCGTCTAAGAGCTGAAGCCTACAATAAATACGGTGATGCTGCTATCCTAAATCTTATATTGGATACATTACCTCAAATAGCTGCCGAGGTTGCAGCTCCATTAAGCAAAACTAAAGAAATTGTCATTATGAATAGTTCAAATGGTGATCCAGTTAATTTACAAACTCTTACTAATCTAGGTAAAGATTTTGCCACACTTGTAGGTACTGTTCCACATGCAGTACGAGCTTTAACAAGTGTTGATCTTAGTCAGGTAAGCATTATGATGTATGCTTTATTTCCATTTGATAAATCTATCATCTTTTCTGCCTGATTTTTAATACTTATTCATATTTTCAATAGTTGGTTTGTAAGGATTAGATTTGTTTTTTACTAGTTGATCACGGATTGATATCAGTTAGAGAAGCATTGAAAACCAGCACTGGAGTACTCGGCAGTTGTTTCGTCAGCCTAGTTTGGGACTTATTGGCAGTACGCGCCCACCGGGCTTCGAACCTAGGACCTTCCCGATAAAAGGCAAGCTCGTATACCATTCAGCCACTAGGACACGATCCAAGCCTCACAAATCAACTATTGAAGATTAATCTGATGCTCACTAATGACTTGCTACAGGACAGAGTTTCATAGAGTTGTAGTGCGAAGTCGTGACCAGCGAGATCCATCCAGTCAATTGTGAGGATGGATGTCCCACCGATGACATCGGTTGGTGGTTGCGCTAAATGCATCATGAATTGGTAGAATTTAGAACTCATGGGCCATTGAATCGGGTCCCAGTGATTAAGTGGTATACAAGCTTGCCTGGGGTTCGAGACCTGGTGTGTCGGTGCGTGCTGCCGATGATTCCCAAACTAGGATGAAACAGCTGTCCAGTACTCCTTCGTGTTTAATGGTTCTCTAACTGATATCAAGCCGTGATCAACTTATTCATAAAAAAGGATGTTTTTACCTAGTAATATGTCAGTTATTAAAATTATCTGATAACAGCCTGATAATAACCTCTGGGCCTCATCTGTGAACTTATCAGTAATACACACGAGTAACTCAATCTTAGAGAATCAGATTTTATCGCTTACATATCGAACTGATCGATAACACCTTTCAATGATTCACTTTCACGTCTCGTCATAAAGAAGTCTACTAGAATCAGGCCTGATCGAAAGTTGAAATACGATGACGGAGAAAAAGAAACAGGGGTTTCTTCAGAAATTTCAATGTTTATTTATGTCAAGGAAACTGAAAAACATTCATTATGACTTGGAGAATTCTCAAGGTGTATTTCTCTTTAAATCGGATAACTTATTTCTGAGTTAAGCAACATCTAGTTAATGTTAGAAAGTGTAGAAAAAATCTTTGTTTTTTCCAGATCTTTTTCGTCCCTTGCTTTCTGAGTGGAACACGGGGTTTCAAGGTTCGAAGTCTGAGAAAGCTGTGGTGTTGTTTTTATTTGCAGACTGAGGTTCATAGCCTCTCTGCAAAACCTTTCATCTTTTCTAAGTCTACTGGCAGCTAAGTGAGGTGTATGACTGTGCCGGCTGGGAATCCAACTCAGACTAGCCGCGCGGTTGTCAAGCAATCTACTGTACTGAGTCAAAAAAGATCACATTGCTGAGAATGTGATTGTAGTCTGAAATAGTGTGTGTGCAATTATAATCGCCAATGGAGTTGTTGTCTCATAGTTAGCGCGATTATTTAACTACTTCTCGGGCACCCACACCGAAACTGGTTGTCTTAAGGAACCACCCCTCCTCCGAGTCTTTGACTGGAAGTCTGATGCAGAAGACAGTGCAGCCACGTTCCCATGGCTACCGGCGACCAAAGTATGTTTATATACTATTCAATCCATAGGGGTTCTGGAGCCCATGTACACCATTAGTTTGGAGTCATGGTTTTTAAGCTCTCCTAGGTATAGACTAGCATATATCCACCAGACGTTCGCATTCGCCATTTTACTTTCATGAAGAACATCCTCGCCATACAGAGGTAGTGATTAGGACTTACCTGATAAAGACTATAACTGCGTGATCACATGAAAACATTTACAGAAGAAGACGAAATCCTACCCACTCTCGGCTGTATCAAGTTGTTTGTGGGGACCTACTATTGTAGCACCGATGCAATCACAAAAGACAGTAACTAGACTGATTTATGTAACTTTGTGTATTTTTAGCCGTAGGGAATTTAAGCATTACTTACTGTTGTATGTAAGACTTCGTCGTTGCTGAAAGATGACAGTACGCTAAATTAAGCATATTTTAATAAATATTTTAAAAGTATTTAAACGTTTCCTTTATTAGACTAACACAAACCTTTTCTGACCCTGTTATATTATTCTTTTCTCTCTTCTTGTAGTCAATTGCCAAGATACCAGGAGCTAAAGTTGCTACTTCCTAAGAGTATCATACATTTTAAGTTAGTGTGTATGTGTAGAACAGAAAGCTGTACACTCATTCTCCATGTTACTGGAGATTTCTTCCATTATCGAATTACCTACAATCAAGTCTGCTTTTTAGTTAACTGAAAACACTTCTAATAGTTACAATATTTAATCTTCCAACTTGTCTACTAAGACATAAGATATCTCTAAGTATATTAATCTTCTTTTAATGTTTAAAAGTCAACAATATATATATTTATATGTGATGATTTATTAATTATGTTATTTATCATATTTTCTGTGTCCTACTGACTTTTTGATACTGTTTCCCTGTTGTGTCGGAGATTTCTCCTTTCTATTTTCGTTTCATTTCTGTAAAATTTCGCCTCGACTACTCATACTTGATGTCGACGATATACTCAACTTCTTTTTATAACTTTGTGTACATTCGGTAACATCATATTATTCAACAATGTTTCGTATGACTTTCATTTTCACAACTATGGAACTGACAGTCATATTTTATCTCCTTGTCTCTTTTTTATTTTGTTTCCCCTTTTTGCATATGGATTTTACTTTTCCTCTATGACAAAACTTACAGTGTGTTATATAAGTAGTATGTGTGCTTATCTCTTCAAATTTTTTTTTACTCTGCTGATCACTTTATAAGAGTGTTGATATCATTGTACTGTTTTGTTTGTTCTATTTTATCAAGTGTTGGTTCTCAGAGATTTGATTGGTTACGGGCTTGGTCACAAGCTGACATCATTGTTAGAGAGAAACATTGGAAAACTACCAGATATAGTACTGCGTATCTGTTTCGACCTAGTTTGGGAATCTTCACCACAGTTATACATCCACTGGGTTTCGAACCCAGGACGTTTTGGTTACAAAATGAGCTCGTAGACTATTCTGCCACTTGGATCCGATCCAGTGGCCACTAACTCTAACTTCTGCCAATTCGTTATATATAGTGAGAAGTTGTAACCGGCGTGTCCCACCAAGTCAAGTAGGAGAAAAGATTCTTGCCTATAAAACTAGATGGTGGGTTCAAACCCCGGTGGGTGTGTATTGTTCAATTTCAGTACACTTGTTTTGTGAATTTTCTATGGGTTTATTACTTTTTAGAAATTAGTTACCTTGGACAGATTTCTTGGGTATCGGGCAATCAACCAGGCTTATTTTTGTAAGGGCTAACGGTACCATTGTGGGTAGAGTTATATGGTGCTTGATTCGAACTGACTGATAGTCAGCTGCTTAGGTCAATAAGCCACACACTTACTTCTATTATTTGAGGAGGAGAACGATCTTTCTCAATAAATATTTAACACTTGGACAGTGTACTATGTGTAGTACATGTTAATTTGTTTATTGGATGTATCACAGTATCATTTACTGGATGACGAAGTTTCAAACATAATTTATTGATCATATCATCCATTGTTACTTCACACAACTCCCATACTTGTATTTTATAGTTCGCTTTATTCCTTTCCATTTGTCATACAGAGGTTGACGGTATAGACGTTCGCGCACAGTACTGGGTATATTAACGCAAGCTCTTATACAAACAATTTCTAACGTATTTGTTTCTGGCATACCAAAGGCAAAGCAAAAGACAGTATTTGATCGTCCAAATTACGCGATATATTTCGGGACCAAAACGAGTTGTTAGACGAATGCTTAGCTGGCTAGTGATCGTGCACGAAAGTGACACGACGGAGTACTAAATGGCGGGGATGCTTGACCGAAAGCTTTCAGCTAAACAAGTCGACTTAAACAGTGGTGGTAAGCATCCAATGTTCAGTGATGATTCCTATGGTCAATAATTTTGGGGAATCATTTACCGCTACAATACCATTAGCTGAATTGTACTGATTTTCGGGTTACGTGTTGAGTCAATCCTATATTTCACATCAAATGGTGGAACAAAACGACGATCTCAAAATTTAATATAACAGTTTGAAGAGTATGAGGTTGGTAGCTGAAGCTTTATATATCTGATCAACTGAGAACACGGACAATGTTAGTAAATTGAGGTAACTTGGACAACGCATGTAAAAGAAACATTTCAGATTTACATGTTATACTGTGTGTGTATGTGTACTCGCGCGACTGCAACATTTTTTTTAATGGTCATCTTGTCCTAAGTTTGTAATTACACCTAATCTTTAAGAAGTCAGTTACCCATGACAGAATTCCCAAACATCAGGCTGAGGATTACATGTATTGTGTGAGGGCTGGTGATATTACCCAGATGAAGCAATATTTGCACTAAGAACTCATAAATTGAAAATCAAGTGTTTAAGTCTTCATACCCCATACGCAATATTACAGTTGTGCACTGTTTATAAACCAAAAGTTAAAGTGTAATACCTATTCAACGATTCCTGATCCGAAAACTAATGACTACATATTATGGGAACCATCTGTAAATCACACTACAGAAAGTATTACAAATATTTATATTCGTAAAAGATATCAATTGTGAGACAGAGAAAGAATCCCGAATCTCATCCAGCACATGAGAACTTTGCCTTAGTGAAGATGTACAACTTAGTAAAATAGCTGAACAAAATAAGAAAAAGTCTGAAAATAAGCTTATTCTGTTGAAAGACATTTAGCATTTGCACTAATGATGAAATCAAAGCACATTTACCTTGTAGCTGTAAATAATTTCCTAAAATTATTAGCCCATAGCATTCACCACTCGACATAGGATGTTGGCATTCACTGTTTAAGTCGAATTGTTTGGCCGAAGACTCGCGGTCAAGCATCCACCCTATTCGACACACCATTGTGTTACGTTGCAATATTCAATATCACTTTTATGAGCTAGTGTAAGCCAGTTTGATTTTTTGTGCTCGCTTCTTGATTGTTATGTGAAGGTTCCTGGAAATAGGCAAACTTCTGCGTGGTTCGTCCCGCCTCTCGACTGTCGTAGATTTGGTTGACTCCGAAACGAGTGGTGCTGGGATTAATTATATGTTGTTCGTAGTATGCGGTTTGTTAAGAATTTGTTACTACTGTGAATGGAGTTGATCTTTTCACCAGTTAGTCCTCCAGGATAGTCATCTTTTCGACAGTGATACTACTTTCCAAGGGATTTTTATTGTTGTCGTCACTGCCCTTCTTGTTGTAAACTTTTTTAATTTCCTTTTGCTAGTGTTGTTTCGATTGCTTTATACCTTGATTTCCTGATTCTAAGGGGAGCAACCCAAAAAGTCGCCCCTCTGTAACCTAGACATTCATGTAACAACCCACTTCTTAGGCGTGAGGCTAGCAAGCCCACTCTGTAAGCAAAATTGCTACAGAAACTTCAGTACGATGAGTCTCCTTGCAACAAAACGAGATGAGATATGGTATTCATGTACTGGGAATATGCGAAAGCAGGTGGAATAGAAGTGAACTCACCAAATTGTCAACGGGAGAGTCAGCGATCTACTCCGGTTACCTAGAGGACAACCACATGCACACTGAGGGTGTGGCTATCATGATTTCACCAATGAAAACGAAGGCGCTAATACAATAGAAGGCAATCTCGACCAGGATAATGACTGCAAGATTTAACCCCAGAGGAAGGATAGTGTCAGTAATACAATGCTATGCACCCAGAAACAACGCAGACCTCGAAAAGAAAGAAGAGTTCTACAGGCAACAATGGACGATACTCCAGTTGGTGACATTAAAATATTAATGCGAGACATGAACGCCAAACTGGGATCAGACAACATAGGAAGAGAATTCATCATGGGTAAAGAAGCTCTAGGAGAAATGAATGAAAATGGAGAACTCTTCACCGACTTCTGCGCCTTTATGAATTGGTGACTGGTGGCAGTGTATACAAGCACAAGGATATCCACAAGGCTACAAGGGTGTCACCAGACGAGCGAACCAAAAACCAAATTAACTTCATGTCAGTGCTGCTCAGGGAAGTGGAGATGCAGCTTACCTGACACAAAAGTAAGGAGAGGAGCAGACATTAGCTCAAACCACTGTCTCGTACAAGGGAAAATCCAAATCAAATTAAAATCTTTCAAAGAAACAGGAGCTGCAGATAGATCACAAGCCCATTTCAATACTAAAAAACTGAAGGATCATGCTACGAAGAACATCTTCACTGTGATCACAAGGAAAAAGGAAATCAACACTAGCAAAGAGGTCAGCGTTGAAAAGCACTGTGACAACCTGGAAGAGGTTCGGAGTCAAACCTGCATGGAAGTTCTGGGCGGAAAGGAGAGACAGAACAAACAGTGACTCATTACAGACACATGGAAACTAATGGAAGAGAGAAGGATGTTTATTTCAGGATTTCATCATGAGCTGACATTAGTTAGAGAACCATTGGAAAGCCTGGGAGTACTGGACAACTATTTCGTCCTAGTTTGAGACTCTTCATCAGTATGCACCCACCGGGATTCGAACCCGGGACCTTCTGGTTACAAGGCGAGCTCGTATACCATTAAGCCACCGGGATCAATGGCCCGTGAATTCTAACTTCTGCCAATTCATGACATAGCCAAAACAAAAGATTATCTGGTGCGTCGACGAGCAAAAACGAACAGGAGATGAATACAGGCCACAAAAGATTGAACAAAGGAGTAAAGGAGAGTGTCAGGGAAGGCAAAAGAAAATATTATGAAGCGATGGCAAACGAAGCAGAACAAGGTGCAGGCAAAGGAGACCACGCGAGACCCTATCAAACTACTAGGTTCCTATCGGGGAAGAGGTCAACACAAATTAAGCCAGCGAAGGATGACAATCCAAAGTCAATCACCAAAGAAGTGGAGCAAAGGAAACACAGGATTGAACACTTGAAAAGACTTCTTATTCGACTGCCACCTACAACGCGCCCAATAATACCAACAATGTAAGCAGAACCACCAGTGGACATCAACTCTCCGACGGGAACAGAAATCCTGAAGGCAATCAAGATGCTAAAAGCTGGAAAAGCAGCAGAACCAGACGGAACCGAAGCAGAAGTATTGGAAATGGACCCAGAGTCATCAGCGGACAT